AGCCAAGGATGGGCCAGGCCAAAGTCAATAGGGACTCCATCATGCCTCTCACATGGGTATCAGGAACCCAGTTAATTGGGCTATTGTATACCACCTTCCAAGTTCATTGGGAGGAAGTTGGATTGAAAGTACATTGTAGTTGTGTCTTGAATCAGGCACTACAGTATTAGAAGCAGGTGTCCCAAGTGGCAGTTTAACCCACGGTGCCTTGATATCTGGCCCTTAAACATTTAATTCTTATGTTGACATCATTTTGACTCTATTAAATGCATGCCATTCTAATACAAAAGCCATCTTATATCAGTCATATTATTTGTTATCACTTTTCTATTTATTTTCTCTGTTAGATAATTTATTTTTTCTGTAAGATAGTTAAAGGTGAGGGAACTGAAGAGGTATTTGATTTAAGAAAACAGGAAAATTGAGAAGTTATCCACCATTTAAGTAAGAAAATTATATGAACAAGGTTAATAAGACACTTAATATGCTCTATAAAATGGGTTTGGGTAATTCAATAACGATCCAGTAACTAAACCCAGAGTCTGAGTATTAGGAGTTTTCACAATGGTCACAGATGTAGGTCTTGGGTTTGGTCAGGACTCGGTGCTTCTTGGGGCATCTAATAGTATATTCAACATAACATTTAGATGGTTGGAGTGAGTTGGAAATTCTCATTCCAATTAACTTAAAGCAGCCACATGGACCATTTGAATTAAGGATAATTGACACCCAAAACTTTAAGTAGAAATAATGCATAATTAGACTATAGTGAGCAAACCTTAAAATCAGGTGAAACATCCCATTTCTTTCGTTGTGTCATAGTTATAAAGTAAGAAACTGCCCACAGCTGACAATATCTTCAGACGATGAGTGTTTTGACACCTTGAATGTTGCTAGTATTGGCAAAAGCTTTCCCTGAAGTTACCCTGATTACTTCCTAGGTCTTCAACATCTCATTGAAGGTTCTTTCCAGTTTTATCTCCAGTATTTGACAGTTAAGCAGCACCCAGTAAAAATACTTTCTTAGTGGACTTGCATATATGTGTTCACAGCTCTATCCTCAAACCTGGGAAGAGCAAAAGATAGTGTCTTAGTCAAGCCATTAGCTCAGGATGCCATAACCAAATACTTTTGGCTGGGTGTTTTACACAACAGAAATTAATTGTCTCACATTTCCAGAATCTAAAATCCTAGCTAAAGATGATTTGAAAGCTTGCTGGAGGGGTGTCTTTCTTCCCATCTTGTAGATGCTTTCCTTCTTTCTGTGTGCACACATAGCAGAGAGAGAGAGAGAGAGAGAGAGAGAGAGAGAGAGAAAGGGGGCACACAAATGAGTGAGCAGGCTTTCTGCTATCTTTAGTTATAATGGCATCCTGAGGGTGCCTCGTTTAAGCCTAGTGATTTCCCCAAACTCCTATCTTGACCATCAAAATGGATACCGGAGCTTCATCACATTAATTTGGTAGGGGGCCCACATTTAAGTATATAGCAAGGCAAAAGTGGGTCAATTCTCATTTTCAGTGGGTGGAATAACAATCATTGAAGAGTTACTTTATTTTTAGAAACTTCTTGGAAATTTATCTCAATTGTATTTTCACTTGTATTCAGAATTTCCTTTTGACTTCCTTTATGTTGACACATAAAAGATTTGAATCTTCAACCTGAAATATTTGAACAGCCCCAAATAAATGGATACCCAATTTCTTCTTCCTGTATTTCAACAGCTATAGGAGATCTGGGTTGTTTTATATCTATATTTACCACTACAGAAAATATAAACACATGTCCCTAAAATAGAATTATCTATTAGTTGCTAAAAGTTACATTTGCATTGCCTAATACATACTTACATTGCAACCAATTTACTAAGTTTAATTAGTAAAAAATAGCAAATTTATGGAAGACAAATTCATGGCAGTGAGAAATATTCAGATAGGGAAGACTTTTCTAAGATCTTTTTTTTTATACCAAGACTCTTGTCCTCAGCAGGAACACAGTGCATGTTTACTCAGGGTGTATGTCACACGAAGACAACACCAGAGCTGATTGAAAACGGGCTCATTCGAAAGACAGCAGGGGTACAGTGGCAGGGGGTAGGGTGGAGAAATTCTGAGTTCACTTTCAATATGATACACTTTAAGGTAATTTTCTCCCTCACTGAATGCCTAGTTCTTCAAATGCATTCACTAATCTCATGATGGGGTAGTATAGACTGTATCCTGGAATAGTATTAAGGTGCTTAATACCTATCAGCAGAGTAGATGCATAAATGAACCGCAAAGTGTTTCCTCCTGGATACACACACACACACACACACAGGACAGAAATGCCATTAGCATTTTTTTTCCAGAGAAAGGGATTCATGATATGTTTTTCCCAGCCATAACATGGTTTTGAACACTGGTGTCTATGAAAAGAGTCAAGTGCACAATATAAATTAAAACTCTATTCAAATATTTATTTAAAAGTCAAATGATTAGCTAGTTAAAATAATAGTCTGATCCCAGCTGCTGATGTGAATTAACAAATTAGCATGATCCTGCTTATTTATTCCTCTAACAATTAGTGAGCTCCCATTTTGTGCTGGGCCTTATGCTGGCTCTGAGATTTTAACGATGAACAAAATACAGACCTGGCCCTGAGCATATCCACAGTCTAGTTGGCCAATAAAAATACAATAATATAAATCATAATACAAGTTTTACAATCAATAATATTTCTACTGAAAAGAAATGATCTGTGAACCCAAAGAAAAAAGCAACAGAAAACCAATGGTCATCTGTGGACGCCAAAGGTTGTAATTCAAACAGCAGAAGAAACTGCTAAGCACCTTTCACATATTTAAAATTTCAGACACATGTACACTTAGCATTAATTTCACATAAGTACCTGCAGTCAATGTTTAATTTTCTAAAACTTTGTTTGAAGTGAGTTAGACTTACAGAAGGTTTTTTTAAATGTACTTGTACTTCTGCATAACCTTTAGTCAGATTCCCCTAACATAAATATCTTACCTGGTCATAGGACAATTATCAAAACCAGAAGATTATTTTTGGCATAACTATGCAAATTAACAAATAGCTCTTATTAGAATTTTTCCACAAGACACAAGATCCGAGTTAAACCTCTTGCTGGAGAGTCCCCTCTTGGCTATAGCAAATAGGTTAGGTATGGCTGAACGCCTTATGATAGGCCAAGAGGAATCAAACCAAAGATTTCCTTTGAATTTATTGGAAAAACAGAAGAATATTTCATGCCATAATTCCATGTATCAGAGGACTTAACTTTGGAGCTACTAATGGAGAGATATTTCAACGTCTAAGCTTTCCACAGAAATATAGAGAAATTCATAATTCAATTACTAGGTTAAAACTACACCTAAAGTTAAAGATCTACTCATGAATGTGTAATTATGTGATTAAACAAACCACAGCTTTATTTAGAACATTTGAGGTTAGTTTTCTGTCACATGTTAAATACAATAAGGATAGTTAATACTGATATGTGCACACAAGCACCTACTTTCAGATAAGGTCACTTTAAGTCATGGGTATACATGTAAGTTCCTATATAATTTCTCTTGCAAGCAAAGCTACAAATAAGTTTCAGATGAATCTTTGCCCAAAGTGTGCTAAGTAGCTTGTCAAAGCTTAACTTTTCTCATATGAGGAAAATGGAATCCACGTTGTTGACTGAGACAGTGTGCCCAGAGCATCCAGCACAATGGCCTACACTTTGTGGCAGACACTATGCCACGCTGATATGGTGGTGTTTATTCCCTCACTGTTAAAAAAATTCTGCTCCTACTTGCACACGTTACTAATCTCCACTTAGAATTTTTATCTCTGTGTGAGACAGAATCTGGATTGGAAATTAATCTGCTCTTAGTCCACATCAAAGACATTAATGAATGGCAGGACACCTAAATTTCCAAGAATTCAAGGGACATCCTCACAGTTGTCACCAAAGATCATCCATTGAGAACAAGATGTAAGGGAGGCGGAAGAAATTATAGTATGGCTCTTGAATTCCTTCACTGCCCTCCTCACTCTCTCTTTTGGTGGGAATAGTGACTTGTCATATGCTGAGAGAATGAAATGCTTCCATTACATTCAGAATTTAAATAAGAAGTTTGATATGAAAACTGCTATGGTTCTTTCCCTGTTCTCATCTTTGAAAGTTGCATCCAGGCTATGAGCCTGTTTGCCAAGTTTTCTGCCTGGAGGAAAATTGTGTGGCTGAGTTATAAATACATTGATGGATCCAGCTGGAACTGTCTCTTGTAATTTAATATGCAAAGAAATAATCTGAGTCATAGATGGAGACAAGCAGTTCCTTTTAAATAAGAGCTCTCTAAGTTTGGCTCTGCAGATGCCTTTCAGGAGCTATCTCCCACAGAAAAATAAGAGATGGTCTCAGAGCAAGAAGACCAAAGTTTGCCCTGAAAATTATATCAATGTGCCTGTCCTGGTCTTTGTTGCAAACACCTAGCAAAGTGGCTTACGCCAATTAAAGTCTTCCTAGTAGGCTTTAAATCAGTAAAAAACCTGAATTGTTTTCCAGTGTTGGTCAGGAAATGGATTTTAATTTCTAAGATTTGCCCATTTTTAATATTGCCTTAAATTAAATAATATATACGACTGCTGATTATTGAAGGAAATAACACACTACGTAGTAGAAGGGCAGAGAGACTAAGAAATATGAGTTGGAATTGGAATCTGAACTCAATATAATTTTGAAGTCCTAATTCAATGCCTAGGCATTTGAAATAGCTTTTAACAAATAATGACACTTTTAATTATCTTAAAGAGTTCATAATATGGTAATCCTATTGCAATGTAGATCATAACATTAATATTTATTGAATTAATAACAAAACTACCATTAGTGCTTTCTCAATAATAAGTGATATCATTCAAAAACATTTGGAGACCATCTGAGTTAAATATTGTATAACAAACCACCCCAAAATTTAGTTAAAACAAACAGCAATGTGTTACCATGAATGTGTGGGACAGTTGGCACAGTTGGTTCTACCTGGATTCACTCCTGCACTGCATTCATCAGAAGAACTGGCCATGCTGGCAGCTACCAAATGTAATCATCTGCGTATCTTGTAGTTGGTCCTGACTCTGCTAAGACCCATTCTCCTCCATGTGACCTCTCATCCCAGATAAACCAGGTCAATGTCCTCTCATAGAGTCCTCAAGGAAGCGTTCTAAGAGGAAGAAAACAGAAATTGCAAAATCTTTTAAGGTTCTGCCTCAGAACCAGCCAATTTCTCTGCAATCACTTCCCATTGATCAAAAAAAAAAAAAAAAAAAAAGATCAGCCCACATTGAAAAAATAGGGAAATATAGGTGATAAACACAAGAAAGCTGAGACTCAGAAATGTTTAGCAATACTATGAATAGTAAATAGCAGATATCCATGAGACAAATATTTTTGACTTTTCCACAGTATCACAGTGTACTTTCTGTTTAAGCACATTCACCTTTATCAGACTGGATTATCTTTCATCATTCCAGTGAGACAGTGGTTCTGTGTATTTTATCAATAAGGAATACAGGTTCAGAAAAAATTGTGGTTTTGCCACAGGAAAATCAGCAAGTCAGGAATATATTCTTGAATATTGATTAGGAGGAGCTTTACCTCCTTCCTTCATGTCACATCTTTTCACATTTCAATTGATGCCATTCACTCATTCATTTCCTGTAGGTGATCTGTGGATTGCACAGTCAGGATATCACTAAACCAAGAGAAGCAGTGAGAGGTTGTTGTAGGCAGCAATGATTCAGTCTGGGATCTAGAAAGAGAAAGTTCATTGTCCTCAGATTCATTCCTCAATCGTCCTTGCTATGCTATGTTTTTAAAGACATAGTTATTCATTTATTTGAAAAGTGTTGGCGGGGGGGGGGGGAGGGATATGGGGGAAAGAGAGAGAAAAGAGATAAAGGGAGAAAGAGATCCTCCATCCTCTGATTTATTCCCCAAATTCCAGCAACACTGCCTGGGCTGGAAGAGGTTGAAGCAGGAGCTGGAAATTCCATCCACGTCTCCCACCTAGGTGGCACTTAGACTATCGTGGGTTACCTCCCAAATGCATTATCAGGAAGTTGGGTGGGAAGCAGGGGCAGAAGTCCAACCAGGCACTTTGGTATTCCCTGCACACCTGCCAAGCAGTAGCTTAAGGACTTTGACACATTATCACCCACTATTCTTTTTGTTGAGGGGACAGAGATGTGGCTAATATTACTTTTAAAGTCTCATTTGTCATTCAGATAATCAAACAATGGGAAGCTGTGCTAAGAGAAAATGAAAAGAAACAGGGAGCAAATGGGTGTTTCACGATATTTCTCTCTGCTTCCCACTTCATCCTGAGATGCAGCTGCTGTGTATCTACCATGGCTTCAGCGTCTGCTGGTATTGCAATAAATCTGATGCTTCTACCCTTGTTCCACCAGCCTAAGTGTGGCAGCAACTTCCTATGTTCCCAGACTTCTACATAGTCTTTGTGTGTGTGTGGTGGTGTATAGAGGATGTGGGGTGCTTGGGGTGTAGTTTTCATTTTGTCAGTCACCAGTATAAAGAGTTCCTAGGTAAATCTCCTTTGTTTGAAGCACTCAAGATAGTTTTTTTTTTTTCCTTCCCTGGTTGGATCCTGGACTGACACTGATTTGGAGATCATGGAGGAGGTAAAGAATGGAAGAAACACATGTTTGAGCAACACAGAGGTTGCCCTTACTAAAATTAAGAAGCACAGGAGCAGGTGTTTGGTGTAGTGGTTGAGACTCTGCTTGGGATGCCCACAACCCATGTTGGAGTGCCTGGGTTTGAGTCCTGTCATCACTTTCAATTCTAGTTGCCTGCTAAGGTGTACCTAGGAGGCAGCAGGTAATAGCTAAATACGTGGGTCCCTTTCACTTACGTGGGAGACCTGGATTGAGTTTAAGCTCCTGGCTTCAGTCTGGTCCGGCCCTGGCTTTTGTGGGCATTTGTGGAATGAATGTGTTAATTGAAGATCTCTGTCTCTCTCCTTGAGTCTCAAATAATATGTAAATAAATAATTCAATGTTTGGAGTTACACTCTTCCTTTAAGATTTGGTTTAAATGTTGACCCTCAAAAAACTTTGTTTTGAACTCCCTAGGTAAAGCTCATACCTGTGTTCTGATCTTCAAATCATTTACCACTAATTTTCATTTTTTACATTGTATATCAAAGCATAAGATCCTTGGTGATAATGAGCACTTGTTCTTTATTCTATTCCAAGTGTACACATATGTAGTAAATGATATATTTAGTGGTTTTGGAGAGAAGAAAGAAAGGTAGCAAGGTTAGATGGAGTAGAGGGGGTGAGGAATAAAAGAACCTTGAACCACTTACAAAAACCTCCACTACCAACTACCAACACACATCAGCCCTGTGTAAATGAGAACTTCCTGGCATCATGACAGATAGAGGCTCAAGCTTCTCCCTGCTGAAAATATCACTGATGTCAAGAACCAGCCTGCATTTCTGGTGTGTCTGCACTGATCCTTTCAGATTCTTTTATCTACCCACCAAGAACTAACTTTACAATCTGTTAAGCCTCAGATGACAACAGATTTCAATGGATGAGTCTTTCCTTATATCTGTCATCATACTGTTTGGTAGCTTGTTCAGCTTTTTCTGTTCTTGAGGGGAGGGTGGATAGACATACGTCAAGCTCCTGGCATAGCTGTTTTTCTCTATATAGACCATTCTAGTTGGATGGCAATCCCCATCAAGTCTAACCTGCCTCCACCCATGCACAATTAAACATTTCAAAACCAGATTTGTCCCCAGGTATAATACCTTAAGAGCAAATGGTATTCTGTGAAAAGGTGCTTGGATGGGGGAATTATTTCAGCCAGATTTATCCCACTTCCACCAGAATCTACGTTGTACTTCTGATAAACCTCTCTCCTCTCAGCACACATCTGCATTTTTGAAAGTAAAAGATAATTAGACAATGATGACTGCAATCACTGTCACATGAGATACATTTGGTGAATGGGGGCAAGAATAGCAACCCATCTCTGATTGCTGTGAATCTACATGCTTTCACATGGATGCAAATAATAACACAGCACCGGCTTCAAAAAGTATTATCTCACTAAACCTCCAAATTTTGAAGGCTGTTAGATTACCAGATCTCAAATCATGCCTATCACACCTGGTCATTATGACTGTGAATGCCAGTGGAAATCCTGGAAGACTGCTTTTCCTGGAACTCACTTGGCTGAAGATCTCGGAGCATTAATCTTTTCCTTCATGTCTGTGTGCTCAGCTGAGTAACGTCCTCTCCCCATCTCCCACCTCCAGCCTCCTCACTTTTTTCTGAATTCTTGAACTTTAAGTCACATTACAGACAGGGAGCCATTGCTCTCTGCTCACATCTAGTTGGTTCTTTCACAGAAATGTCTAAATGCACTTTTTCTTCCCTGCCTTCTTCAGGGACTCAGATTTAGCTAGTTCCTGTTGTATTGCTTCTCAGAACATTTTTATAGCTTGCTAATTTAATAGCTTGAAATCCTCAACGTCCTTTATCCAGAACAACAGTCATCAACTGGGCCTTCCCTGGCCAGAGATATGCGTGTTCATCTTCCTCATCATTCCTACCTTTGGGTGCTATAAACAGCTTGCTGTTCCCATAAGGCCATGTGTTGCTGCACCCCTCAGTCTTTCCTCATGTCACACCTGCTCACGAACCCCACCTTATTTCTTTGTCTTCCTAACTCCTACAGAATCTTGAACAGTTGTAGCTAATTTCTCTTATTGGTAAAGTTTTCCTTGACCATTATCAGCATGGCAGAATTATTGTTCCACTTGCAGCCTTGGCATGAGTCTAAATTATGTTCAAAACGTTGAGAGAAAATTGAATTAAAAATGTTTATTTGGGGAGAAACTGAAATTATATACACTCGGAGTCTTTAAAAGGTTCATAGAAATTATATATTATGAAATATACTATCCATGGATTTGAAAATAATTTGTACACCAAAGTAAACATCTTTAATTCCACGTTTCACAAACTTTAAATTTTTTATTTATTTATTTGAGTGACGGAGAGTGATTTCCCATACCCTGATTCATTCCTCAAGTGCTTGCAATGATCAGGGCTGGACTGGGGCAAAAGCTGGGAGCTAAGAATGCAGTACAGGTCTCCCACACGGGTGGCAGGGACAAAATCACTTGGCCCATCACCAGCTGCTTTTAAGGTTCCACATTAGCAAGAAGCTGCATTCAGGATCTGGGGCCAGGGCTCAAACCCATCCCTGTGATACGGGAGGCTGGCATCTCACCTGCCTCTTAAACACTAAGCTAAAACCTCACCCCTTCTGTAATTTTAAAAAGCACTCTTGTATTATTGACAGTGTGTAGCACCATAACAGTTTAGTCACACATCCTTCTCCAATCCTCATTATGATCCTAGAGGATTCACTAGTCCTGGCTAGCTGACCTTTGCATGTCCGGTGCCCAATACAGGATCTGTCATATAGTAAGTACACAATGCATGCTTTGTTATTAATGCCATAAATCTGATTTTGGCTTGGCACATGTTTCTAGGTCATACATTACTGCTATACAGATCACTGAAGATGCTGAGAATTTGGATGTTGGAGTGATTTTTTTTTCTTTTTTCTTTTTTTTTTTTTTTATGACTCCAATGGCCTCATTTCTCCTCTGAGTTTCTGTGGTATGTTCAAGTTTACAAATCTGTGTCTTCTGACTGTAGTACTCCCAAATGAAAAAAAAGTGAAGAAAATATCTATGCCTAATTTGCCAAAAAGAAAAAAAAATGTAAGGGCAGGCGATTAAGCAGATAAGAGAATAAAGTAAGAAATATTCAGGGGCCAGAATTCTGGCACAACAGGTTAAGCCACTGCCAGCAATGCTGGCATCTCACATGAGAGCCAATTCGAGTCCCAGCTGTTCCACTTCGGATCTGCTCCCTGCTAATGTGTCTGAGAGGGCAGGGGATACAGCACTAGTACTTGGGTTCCTGCCATCCACAAGGGAGAGTCAGATGAATCTTCTTGCTCCTGGTTTCTGCCTGACCCAGCCCCTGCCGTTGTGGCCCTGTAGGGAGTGAGCCAGTAGA